TGACTATAGGTCTGGAAAGTCGGTCGAACTTGCTCACAATCACTTTATCGCGTTTATGAGGTGTGCAAACGTGCGTGCGCTCATGACGTAAACAACCATGCTGCACGATACGTTAGGCCTCGCACTAATGTCACACACAACATATTATATATATATATATATATATATATATATATATATATATATATATATATATATATATATATATATATATATATATATATATATATATACGTCAATAATAGACACTGTGCTTTCCAAATGCATTAGAGATAATAAACTGCGCAGTATAGCCAGAAAAACTACACTATACGGAAGGCGGCATCCAGTGTATGCGGCAGAGCGCGCGTATTACTAAATTCAAAGTAGAGAGTTTGTACGATTGCGCCGATCGAACATCGAATAGTAAATATAGAAGCTTGGGCATCGTCTGTAAATACGGCATTACGTCGCTCGGAGGAGGGGTAGGAAGGAAAAGAATGAAAGGCAGAGAAACGTCGTCGACATTATCGATATAACGAACGCAGTGAAGCACCTGCGGGTAAGTGAGGTCCTCTCATCCGCGCGGTGCTTCAACCTCGGTGGCGCTGTTCCAACTGACCGTGATATAACCTCACGCATAAACAGATTAGTATCATTTAATACGCAATGACTAATCGAGCTAAGTATCCAGTTTTGAATTTAAATATTCAATGAGCGGTTGCGCCTGTAAAATAGGATTGTGATTTTTGTAATTCGTAACCTTTTGGCACCGAAAGACTAGGCTGCGCCATGTCAACAAATGATGTATATTTACTAGAACGTGCCTGTTGTGTGCCAGTACTTCCTCCATGATCACCCTTTTAGGTCATTGGCCGACGGGAAGGTTTAGCGGATGACGATGAAGAAAGTTTCTTATGATGTTCCCTGGAGGCTAATGCGTTGTTTCGCCCTATTTAAGCTTAAATTTATTTTTACTCTACAGTAAAGCATTCTGGCAATATTATAATGTCAACCATCACATTTATTTCAACGTCGTCTTTCTATAAAAAATACCCAATATAAACCATACTCTCCATATTTGAAGCCGCATAAAATCCCGTGGCAGCGTAAGAGTTTGTTAAACTTATTTTTAAAAAAAAAAACCTACCATTCTTCTAAAGGTAAAAATTTGTCGTGACCAAATTTAAAAAGAACAAATTTTTTGAAATCTTTTACGAGCCATAGTTTCGAGCTTTCCGAAAAAATTCTCATAAGGCTTACCGTATTGAATTTTTTTTTCGCAAAAATGTTTCAGGGGAGCACTTCTGACCTTAGGTAGATAGATCTGATTTTTTTTCAAGCAAATAACAGATGGTCGAGCGTTAAGGTTGAGACAGTTGGTGTGGAATGACCCGAATGCAACAATTACAGTGCAAGGGCTGTGTTTCGTTCGCTTGTATTGACATAATGAATAGGAACTTTTTTCTTCTGCGGTATTCACTTTTCAAACACCGCTTTCGAAGGAACTGGTCATGCGCCCCTTCCTATTTCTATAGCCAATGCCTTTATTTGTAGCTGAAATGGGAAGTGAAGTTAAACTTGGGGGTTTTACGAGCGAAAGCTGCGACACTACGACAAAGACGAGTGGTAGACAGGCTGCGTACTTCAAAGGGTACTGTCGTTAGCGGACAGACAAATTGACTGTCTGCCATGCACGCAAGTGTTTCACACACACTCGTCACCTTCATCGAAGCGTACAGTACGGTTACTAGTGCACACAGTACGGTTACTAAGTGCACCGTAGCGGGATGTATGCGGTTCAATGCTCGCCACTTTTGATGACCAAAGCCTGATTAGAGTACATGTAAGTTCCCAAGTTTAACCCCTAATGTAATGCGGCTGCCATTCCCGGGAGTCGAACCCACGTCCTCGAGCTTAGCAGCACAGCATATCATCTGATAAGCTACTATGGCGGGTGACTGAAGTGTACAAATAATGAGATAAATAAAAGTGACAAAAAACAACTTGGCACTGAAGGTTGACAAATCTAAATGGTTACACCTTCACATGTATCCATGAAAGTGGGCGAAACAAGAGCTTGCGCCGAAGTAACACTGATTGTGCGTCTCGGGCGTAAACGGAAGGTTAAGGGATTGATACACACTGCCGGCAAATTGTCTTTTCGTCGACTTTCATTTTCCTATACATCATAATAATTAGTACTCTGAAATAAGGCTTTCTCGTTTTCATTGCCTTTATCATCATTAATGTCTCTTTTCTGGTAATTTATCTTGAAGCGTGAAGTGAACCAATATATTCTTATCTACAGCACTTGGTTTTATGATCCAGGACACTCTACGTCGTGGGCCACAAAACCAAAATTGATAACGCAGGCTGTTTTGTGCTGTGATAAGGTAAATAGTCAGCGCTGTATGTTATTTGAAAACTTGCGCAACACCAATGCTTCCAAGTTTTCTTGTATGCGTAAGCACTATGATACAGTGAAATTACAGTCAAGTCGTTGTGCTAGTACGCCACATTTATATAAAAATGATTGGACCGATGAAAATGTCAGAAGTCTCACATTAATGTCAACATAGTCCGGAGGGGGGAGGGCAGACAATGTGGTTAGTGGTACTAATCCCAACTTGGATTCTCAATGTGGTAACAGTATGCCAAATTTTTAAACGTATAATGTTAGCGCATAAGGTGAATAAAATGTGAACTAAGGTGAATACCACGTGACTAAATGTTAATCTAAGAGCAATCAAATGTGAAATATAGTAAGGATGTGCAAGTGAACCAAGTGTGAATGAATAGCGAATCAAGACCAGATGTCAACATGCAGAACCAGTAATGACGTCAAAGTGACGGCAAAAGAATACACATGCAAGAAGAAGTAACAATGCAATCGACTTAAACGTCAATGTAATTTATTAAGTGTTTCGTAAAGGCGTGTCCGTTCACACGCGCTCACTTTAACCTTAGGTAATGAGTACAAAAAATTTTTAGTACATATCAAGGAATTGACGTTTCGAACGGAAAAGCAAATAATGATACGAATTTAAATCAGATTTGTGCAACAGTAAACGCAATTACACGCAGAACAGTCTGGCTAGTGTTGCCAACGATGACAAACTGTGCGCAAGAAGAAATTATCAGAGGTGTTCAAGACACGTGAGTGTTCAGTGTTAAGCGCTTACACACCTGCTCTTGCCCGTCGTAAGCGAGAATGAACAGTTGTTGCGGTGGCCCAAGCCAGGATTTAATTGCTGCTCGGTACCACTACTGTCGCATCTGCGAATGTAGCCGTACTGAAATGTTCCTAATAGGGAGGCTTACCACCGTATTCACAAACGCTCCTCGACTCGACTTTTACCCTTCATTTGACAGAGTTGAGCACTGCGCCGCTGCTCGGCTGAAAATGACGGTGCGCTACTCAAGAAGAGCAGCAAATTATCGCTAATATGTAGTCACTCTCCCTGCCTAGAGATGGCGCTTCCATCGGCCTTCTCAAGTGAAGGTGAAGCGTTGAGTGAAGGGACGTTCCAGAATACGGGCAATAGAATAACGTTTCAAGGCGTCGATTTTGTTGCTGGGGACAATACGAGTTTTATAATAGCGTTTGCTTCCCCTACAGGAACGTCTAGGGACTTTCGCCCCGACCGCAAACCGAAATACACGGAAGCTATACACAGCACTTAGCGAGCCTCGCGGGCCGCGAGCGCCGCTTTCTATTTCCGAATTTCTGCGGGCGGGTCGCAAGCGTGAATGGCGCCTCGCATCGCGACGCATGCGCAGTGACAGTGACAGCACCGCAAGGGCTTGCGTTGCGCTATTCTAAACCTCCCTAACGTTGATTGATTGATTGATTTGTGGGGTTTAACGTCCCAAAACCACCATATGATTATGAGAGACGCCGTAGTGGAGGGCTCCGGAAATTTTGACCACCTGGGGGTCTTTAACGTGCACCCAAAGCTGAGCACACGGGCCTCGACATTTCCGCCTCCATCGGAAATTAAACCTCCCTAACGTCTAGACGAGGCGACTTCGTTTGTTGCACTGGCATTATTGGTAGGCATCACCTTGATGGCAGCAACGCAGATTCGTAATAAGGAGTACATCTCGCGACTTAAGCCAATCGACTGCTTTGACATGATGAATAAGTAACAGTTTTGCATAACAGTTTTCTATTGTTTTAATAACGAAAGAATGAAATAGTTCACGCTTTCTGCAGAGAAAGGTACAGAAAAAGAAATTTTAACTTAATCTGCACACGTTCGAGCATACGCATAAATTTAACATTTCTGGAAACTACGTCTCAAACGGGTTATTTGTGAATAATCCTGCGTATATTCACGGACGGTTTCCTTCATCACGGCAGCATTGCCGATTCCGGTCACAAAGGCAGGAAACAATTAGATGACATTACAGATGCCAGTGGCATGTGCTTTATCACCCATCGAATCTTATTCACCGACGTTTGAGTACCTAACATTAGCGTTGTTCACATCGCTACCGTAAACACATCGAGGTAATGCAGAGCATGCGCACTTGAAATGCTTCAACCACTGGAAATCTTCCCTTGCGCTAAGCAATCTCAGAAGCCGCGAATTTCCTTCCATCGTCTGCTAGCTAACGTGTTTCGGTGCCACTGTCAAACGTAAAATTCTTCAGAGCAAGGTGCCTGCAGCATTCGATAGACCTATGCAGACAATGTAGTTAGTGGTACTAATCTCAGCTTGGATACTTCGGATGTAAATGTAAGTTTTCACATTTAGATGAATGCGTCAAGTAAATGTGTCCCAAGATTGCAGCGTTAATCCATTTACTATCAGCTTTAAGTATCAGAATGTGTATTTGGACACCAGCCGAAGAGGCCCATGCAGCATTGGCGGGGCTTTGCCATTCAGACATCACGGAATCGAGATCGCTACTCGGCAACGTCTAAAGGGCATGACCACGCGCCGTACAAAAATGAATAATTACGGTTTGAGTGTACTAAGCGCGCTATTATTCATATATGCAAACGTACTTACGTGAGAAGTGGCATGAGATGTAGTACAGGCAGTGTGACGGAGTACCAGATGAGCACCAGAGCCCTCATGAAGGGTTCCTTGACGCTCCTCAGGACAGTCACCGTGTAGAAGCGGGCCACGAAGAACAACAGTGATGGTGCATGCATCAGGCCTACCGTAGCAACGCACAGCCACGTCCGTTCTTCGTAGTAAGCTACGGCGAGTAGCACGTTAAACGTGAGAACGGCAGCTAGCAGGGCGAAGGCTATCGTCGACGGCGCGACCAGCGCCCCGCATCCAATTCTCCTCTCAGCGCGGTGTCCGGCCCCTGCGCTGCTGTAGGTAGGCCACTGGGAGTCGTCCTCAGTCGCACTTGCCGAGATATCACCGTGCCCTTCCTCTGGCTCTCTCACCGCTTCCGCAGTGATGACTGCAGCCATCTCCTTCTCCTTGCTGTTTACTTCGTCCATGAACAGCTGCACCACGAACTGCTCCGAGATGGTCATCTCGTTGGATAGTGATTGTGCTGTCACAGCTGACGTGCCGCTTTTGTTGCTGGTGATATTACTAACATCTGCAGCTGGTGGCGCAGATCCAGTTGACGTCGTCTGTATTAGCTGGTGCTGTGGCTTGTGGTCGGACACATCATCCGTAAAACTTTCGTGGTACTCCCGCGAGCTTAAAAGTTCGATGAAGGCGTCCACGTCGCTGCCATTCACGCCTTCTGCAAGACTTCGGCAACCCAAAGGAGTTGAAGCAGTGAGGTGTGGAAGCTGTTCACCTGGTTCAGAAGCGTGCCTAGAGGTTCTGATCCTGGTGTACTGCTGTTGTCGTGCAGCAGGACGGGACTGTGAGCGCGCGTTGCCGAGAGCGCCGCACGTGCAGCGAGTGGGTGACCCGTAGCTCATGTAGCCAAGGCGCTCGCCGGACACAGATGGCCCGTCGGCGACGCTACACAGCCATCAGAGAGCGGGTGTGGCACCGTACTCGTCCAGGGTTGCTGTACATAGAGGTTTGCACCGACGGGTTGGAACATGGAGCACTGATTTCTCAAGGCTTTGTCGTTTTTTTCGACGTCGATGAGTGCAGCAGCCACTAGCTAGTCGCTTTCATGATGGCACTTCTCCTTGCACCGGAAAGCACCGAATAAATCGCACACATTACTACAATCCAGCGATCATTGCACGTGTCGCACACACTGCCGCATGACAAATTGCAGGAGCATCAAGACATGCCGCCTTCCTTCGTTGTCACGTGGGATAGCTGTCCCGCCGGGGTGTGCCAGCCCCTCCGAGAGCTGGGGCTGTGCCGGTACCCCGGCGAGTTAACACTCGTAGCACTCGTGCGTCCCGCGCTTTTTACGCAGCTGTCCTTACCCGCCTAGCGCGGGGCACCAGAGCGTCTCAACTGACGCACGGGCAGTGCCCGTGTGCGACGATCCTTGTTGAGAACATTTCGCTTGTAACGGGGGGGCGCCGAAGAAAAGACATAGAATCCGTTATCCAGGAGAGCCGCAAAACAGCTCGCGACGACGACGCTCTATCGCTTCTCCTTTTATCGCCGCCCGACTGTGGCTGATAACGACGAAAAGTTTTTCTTGGCTCATTCTTTGTCTTGCGCGGTCTTGTCACTTCTGCGCGGTCCCTTCATGCTCTCTCTCTTCCCCTATTCCAGCTGGTTTCTTGTTTCATGTTTTCCCTTACCCATGCGGTACGTAAATTGCTGTTTTTCTGACCGCTCCGCATTAAACAACATCGTCGTCTCAGCTGTAGGTCTGCCGCCCAAAACGACTCCCCTTCCTCACGCGTTGTCGACGCGAACTCTTATCGAGTTTTATATTTTTCTGTTTCACCTCGAGGACTACTAGCGAGTGGAAGTCCTTGTTTTTGGTTTATGGCAAGATAAAAACGAAGCGCGGTCTTACCCATTGGGTTCGATATGTCAATCTGGCTTATTGACTTGCGGCCTTGCTGGGTAGCGCCCCAGAAAATGGCTATGCGCCAAATAGACAGGGCGTGTGCGGCGCACGCTATTTACTTCACGTTTCACGATTTTTCAGCCGTGTATTTTGTATTTGTCTTGCGAGAGACACTTGCGGAAGAGCAGATGACGTTGAATCTGTATAAATGAGTAGTAGATAACTTATCTGTTCCTCGAACAGGCACACGTGTTGTCACGGGAAATAGTATCAATGCGTATATGTATGTAGACTCTTCTCGCGCGCGGTCTCTGCATGCGTTCAGAGACACGAGGAGTGCTGTCTGCAACAGATGCGGTGTCCCCATAGAGATAATCTTACCCTGTTTTCGGTATTTCTCGGAGGATTGTTTGTGCAGTATGCGGGCCTCCTGATTTTGGAACATGCAAACACCAACCGCGATCAGCTGCTTCAGCAACGTTCCACCGAAACACTGGGGATCACTCCGCACTATTTGCAATATGAAAAAAAAAGCAGAGAGAAGATGTTTTTTGTGAGTAAATTGCAACTACAGGGTGGTCTTCTCTTACGGTCGCACGTAGAGTGCGGCTGCGTTCTGCAGAACGACCCTGCTACGCAGAAAAGGACGAGCCGCTGCATACATGGCGAAGCCCCCGTCGACCTCTTCTTTATTCAAATATACTCACCCTAATCTACCCCGATGATGATGACAGCACTCCTCGCCTTCTATACATTATTTAACATCTTCCACGCCTCCACAGTGGCGCCTGACGACGAAAAAAACTAAACGCTCACACGAGTTTCAAGTACACTAGGGCACTACAACAGGGTCATTCACGATGCTGTATTCTTTATTTAAATTATTCAAAGAGAATACCATGATTAAACTATCTCTACACCTACAACATTATCTTTCATTTATCTTTTTTCACCTTCTTTTTTCCTCTCTAGTTTTCTTTTTATTAGTTCTTTATTTCGTTCTCAAATTGTACTGCCGCACGCCTTGAGACCATTCCCCCGTGGTGGGTTGTGCCATTCTTCTGAGAATCATCATCATCGTTATAATCATCAGTATTAGTAAAAGTTCCAAGTCAGCAATAGTGGTGTCACCCGGGTCTTCTCCTGCATTCATCTTCCAGCGATGTTGTCGGCGCTTGTGCCACGTTCGTTCTATTGAGTGTGTTGATATTGACGTAGCTGCGCTGTCACTGAGCAGCTTTCCTTGGCATGGAAACTGCCACTGAAGGCTCTTTGAGAGATATATTGTGCAGCTCTTTCTGAGGCATCTTTTCCTTTGCCTTCTCTTACTGGCTCTATGTACCTTCAAAACCCCAGTTTTATTCTCGTCTGATCTCTTTTCTTCACCGCTATGACACAGTCTCGTCATTTTGCTACTTCGCGGAAATAAGCCGTACCGTACGTATTTCCTTCAATCTTGACTTCTACAGCTTTATCGATGAGCCGGAGCTTTGAGCTGTGCAAGAGGCTTGCTTTTGTGTCGTCATTGTCTTTCCTTTCATCTGTTTCTTCTCACTTTATGAAGTAGACTTAATTTTCTTCCGTCGGGCAGTTGTACGCACTGCGATGATGACTTTACAACGTCCGAGCCTGTCAGCTTTCGCTTGTACCGATCCTTATTATCTCGTGGATGGCCTTTTGGATCAACAGAGGCTTGCCACTTTTCGACCATAGAAATATCTTCCACCACGAACACCGCAGCTGTTGCAGATGTCTTTTCATTAGCCGGATGGGTACAGCACGTTCACGAGATCTCTAACGGCGATGAAGAGGCGTTTTCTGAAGTGGCAACCCTAGCTTGTATGCTGCCATTATGTCGCTTGTTTGCCCTGAGGTCGACTCATCCAGGTTCTGTTGAACAATATTGTTATTGAAGACGTAATTGCTAGATTGTGATGACATTGTCGAAGAGAGTACCTTCATGGTACTTTAGTTCTCATACATGCTTTTATTAAGTTCAAGTGCACTGAATGAGCTTTTAATGTGTCTGCAATCTCATATTATACTCTCATTTTCACTCGAATAATATGGTGAACATAACCATTGGCTTCCTCCATCTCCGCTTCCAAATGATCAACGTGAACTTCGCTTTCTCCCTGGTTGTCTTTTCCTCTGCGAAGCTCGTACTGATGAGCCCATAATCAGTGAACATCCCACAACTCACACATTTGTAGCAATTCAATCGCCGAAGACGTTCGATGTCGGCGATTACCTGCCTGACGACCTTGCGTAGTTGACTCCGCCTTTCAAAGAAGGCCTTCATGATTCGGTCCAGTTTTGGAACCAGGAGAAATCACTGGCCGGCCGTGTCACGAGGTGAAGTAGAATTCAACATGGCGTCTATCGCAGAAGGTTCGCCCTACAAAGATCGGGCATCGTTGAGATATTATGCTTCAACGATCTCGGTCACTCGTAGGTTAGGCCCCGTCTACACAATATTCAACACCTGCATTAAGCGCAGCCTCGTATCAGAGCGGTGCAGGCGCATAGGGGCCCAATAGGCGCGCCCCTCATTGCTACATAAAGCAAGGGCTGCGCACTCCAGCGCTGTAGCAGATGACAAGAAGCAACTCCCGTGAGTTTCTGTTCGCCGCTGCACTGATGGAAGTACTGGTGGCCCGTGGAGTGCGGCTGTGGTGAGTCGTGTTCTCACCTGAAGGGGCGATCCAGTACATCATATGCTTGAATATATGGCATGGACTATGTACCAGCCTAATACATTTCAGTTGTGCGAAGAATGCCACCTGTGTTAACGACCATTTGTTATGCGGACATTTATATAAGTTGAACACAAGCTCAACGCCGCACGACCAAGTGCTGCAAATGATCCGCACCCGATTGCGGCAATCAGCTGCCTGGCTAACATAACGTTCAATCAACTGTATTGAAGTTCGATAAGCCTGCATGTCACTTCGCTAGCGCTAGTCACTTGCTTAAGCAACTTCACCTTGTACAGCAGCAAAGCCAAACTAGGAGTAACACGTGGACACCACGAGCTTTTTTTTTTGTGCGCTGAGAATTTATCAGTGTACGCTCCCGGCTGATCACTACTTGCATTTTTTTTAGACGTGTACATAAAGGCGTTTATTATATGGTACATGTAATCAGAAACTAATCCACAAGTTATCGGCGCTGGAGACAATAACGGCACTTGTCTCTTTTTTTCTTGTCTAGGTTTCTTCTGCTTCATTTGGGGCTGCTGATATTCCCAAGACAATAAGGATTCAGTCAGAATCACAAGCACCGTGGTGTCGCAAACAGGTACTTACTGCCTGTACGCGACCATTTTCGGACGAAGTTTTTGCACGTGCAGGCGAGCGCAAATTGAAGCTTATTGCGTGATCGTTAGCCAGTGCCTGCTATAGCACCACGGCCCAGAATCTTCTTTCGAAGGAAGGAAGGATATCAAACAAGCTCCTCTCCCTCCTTTTGCATTTCTCTAACCTGTGACCACTGCAGTATAGGGAAAGAGCATTTACTTAATAGGACTTTCTGAGGCATATTTACGAGAATGAACGCAAGAAAAATGCAGCACCAAAAAAAAAGACACACAAGGGACAAGCGCTACTTAGAAATTTTTATGCCTTTCGTGCTGCGTTTTTATTGCACTGACTCTCGTAAGGAACACTCAAGTTCTTTTTTTTATGACGACGCAATGTTCATATTTTGGGCAGCTTAGCAAGCCGTTCAAACGAAGTAGTTACAAGCGCAAGCTTTAACAGGTCTTTGCTATCAGTTAAGCAAGATCAAATATCTATAGGTAGAGTGCGTCAGCCGCTGCACATGCACACCACCCTAGGTAACAATACTGTAGGCACTATCACACCGTATCCGCTTGGTAGCATTTTCTTTTTAGGAGCGACACTTCTTTGCTGGAAATCGTTCAAAACGAAAAACAAAATATCTGAAGGTTATCAGGTGTGCCTGACGTAACTTTTTTTTCCCTCTTGCCATCCAACTCTGCTTAGCTTCCAGCGTGCTCGTCAGTATGACAGAAGAAAGAAAGCACTTATAGAGTGTGATCTCAACTTCTCTTGTACTTGACGGTTTTGAAAAGTTTTGTGGTGGTCTATTCGCAAAGCAATGAACTTAATGAAGCTATTCTATGGTTACTTGAAAAAGTTTTGTGAGGCCTCTTTAAAATTGAAAGAAAAGGCTGTCGTAGGTGTGATTGTTGTACTATGCAAGAGCTGATGAGGGCGAGAAGAATGTGAAATCTAGATTTTCCCTGTTCCGAAACACGCCTCAATGCCCGTGGGACGTTATAGGCCAGTTGACGCTCGCGGGATCTACTTATAAATCGCGCTCGACCGTACACACAGCGACGACAACAGCCACTCGGTCGTACTATCCTTCCCATTTCATCACTACAGAAGCGAAGCGACTAAAGTGCACTGTAAAAAAAAAAATACTCCAAGGTCGCAGTAAAACGCTCGTCCTCTAGCGTACCCCCTATTCGGAGCAATTGATGCTCCGGACATCCGGAGCAAAATGTTTGCTCCGGCTCGCCGGAAAAATTGCGTGGCGTCGCCGGAGT